GATAGAAAAATGTGTGCACATTTTGTTTCCTCCCTTGTCTTATATAAAGTGCAAGCTGATCGGCCGGAAACAAGTATTAGTGATTTTCGTGGTTTCGGAGCGTGATGATTAAATTTAATAACATATGCTTGTTTTACATTACTAAACTGTTGTAATTCTATAATTTCTATTATTTTGAGCAAGGACAAGGTCCTGTACCGGGACATAGTCGCTTGGTCCCATAGACGTCCATGCATTGAGACGAATAGATCGTCTGGCCCCTGTGAATAAAACTGTTGATAAAAGTTGTATTGCCATCACCAGCAGCTATATTTGTTAGCGCGTAAACAGTAGTGTTGAGAAATCTGGAGTAAAATATTGCTGTTAATATCCTGTAATTGACCAGCTTCCATTTCATAAGACACTTTGCAGTTTTATTCCCCATACCATTCTGATTTGATTTCCTGAGTATATTATAATCTGTTCAGTTTGCGTTTTCAATTTACCAGAACCTGTCCACTTACATTCACTTATTCCCAGAATATTTAAATTGTACTTCGTCATTTCATTTATCGTATGTGCCGTTTTCGTGTGCTTTACATTGTTTTCACATTCGATGATCTTATGTGAACCAATAATTTTCGAATAGCAACTGACCTGTTTATCTGTATGTGAGCTTCCTGAGGCTTTCATCAAAACCGGTCATGTCTTCACAGGCTCATATAAATACATTTCCCTCAGTTGTTCGGCAGGTGACCTAGATTTTCTTAAGGTTACTTAGATTTGTCGCGATGCTCTTGGATCCCATAATCGCCACGTGTTTTCCTGGGTACGGTGATTAACCCAACATCCAACCCTCAACCTGGAGGACCAGCTGCACTGTATTTTGTCTACTCTCTACCCGTTGACCAATCTGACATAGTTAAACCTGCCAGAGGATTTCTGCCCTGTCGACACAGCTCGTATGGTCACTGAGAGCTACAAGCCCCTTCACAAAGGCAAGGTAACAATTCAGGGATGGGCATTGTATAGCAATAAGCAATTTATTTTGGGAAAATGTCATAGTCCCTATTGTGCAACTTTCACCTTTGTTACTAGTGGCTGAGGATTGGTAAATAAGCTAGAATGAAGGGCACATTAGTATATTTGGTTTATGTACTATTTCTCATAAATATCCATGTCAAATCGACATGTTTGTATGTGTACCTTCATCTGGATACCTTTCACATGGGTTTACCTGGTTTATACTAACAACCTCCCCGAAAAATAGACAGAGAAAATAGTATTTTGTATCGGTTTTGAATTATTGCCAGTGGCATTTGCTGCGAGTTTCCCCAGTGTACTTCGCTACAAACTGTTTCACTCTCAAATTTGAGAGTGGTTTTATGTTTTGATTTTTCGTTTATATTTTATTCAATAAAAAGAAATGATGTTGGATCATAGACCTTAGAAAACAAGGACATGCTACTGGGGGTATTCCTTTCATGTAACCTTAGTTATAATCCTCCACCCAATTAACACCTTAGTAAAACTGACAATAAAGTCAACACCACTGTTACATCCTCTCCTGTTCCATAAGCCAAACATGGCTGCCAGGGAGTAGCTATACAAAATGAGCCGACTGTGTGGATAGAATATAATCAGAAAAATTACATTTGATTAAAACTGAATAGCCAAGTCCATTCTATTGATACGAGTGAAACTGAAAATTGCAAAGTTTTTATTCCACTATGAAAACAGGAAAGGGAAATAAAAATGGTCAGTTTTCTCTACAAGAAAACAAAACTGCCTAAACGTGAACAATGACCTGTCAAAATTTGTGTCATTATAACAAGTGGATTTTTCATCATATTTAGAAGAGATATAGCATAGTGCACCCGTTATACACTGACGAATGTGAATATTGGCCCAGCATAAATTATCAAACGTATAAAAAAGCGTAGAAAGGTAAGAACTAAAACTGTTTCAGATGTATCGGTATATTTATTAATGGGATTATCTATACAGGAGATTATAACCCACATTGCACACAGGAAACTGGATTTTCATTTGTCTCAGACAGAAGTTGCATGTCCCTGTTTTCTAAGGTCTATGGTTGGATTGAGCCTATACATGCCGCTTTTGCGTTCTGATGGGAGATTTGGGCTTGCCTTGATCGAGTTTGAAAACAAAGCTTTCTACAAATTCGAAGTTCTAGCAGTGTTGATGCAGTCTAGAAGGTTCAAAATATTGTCACCAATAATATCTTAATTTAACATATTGTATGTCATGACATTGCTATAATATTCAATATCAAATTCTTTACTTGTCCCATATGCATTCATCCAAGACTGTACGTCGCTATTCCACCGTCCTCCTAATTTTATCGTTACATCAGAGAAAAGTACTATCCTCCTATTTAGGACTGGGATGACAAGATTTGCTCTTTCAAAAATCACTTTGTGAATTTACTAATATTTACATATCATGTGTTTTACAGGAGTTTGGCAACAAGACATTCAAGCTGTCGATGTTTTCCCTAGTAATGGTGGCAAGTATAGTGATGTTCGTCACGAATTCCAGATTGTTCCAAACAGAGCCAATTATAAAGTTCAAATCTATTTCACCCATGGCCCAAGACAGGAATGACAGAGGAGTCATGAGCAAAAACAATACAATTCAGGGCCAACCAACATCGCGAATTGCTATTGTCCCTTCTCAGTCATTGAAGAGTGTAGATAATGTGGTATTTAGTACTAGTCCCACCATCATGAATAACTCATCGGAAAATGAAATACATACGACATGTGCAAAGAAAATAAAAGGGATGAATATCTCAGACAGTGATATACAAAGAGAATTGAATTTAACGAATTCTGTATTGGAACCCGATTCCAATTTTACATCGCTTAACTGTACGAGATTCACTGCTGATCGAGGATATAAATATAAACCGGTTACAAAAGAAGAGCAAGATTTCCCATTGGCTTTTGGAATCCTGATGTATTCATCCGCGCACCAAGTTGAACAGTTACTCCGGACTATTTACAGACCACATAATATCTACTGCATACACGTGGACAGAAAATCACCAGCTGTGTTACACAGAGCAATGGAGTCGATAAGTGGATGTTTTGATAATGTATTCATATCATCACGTCTTGAAAAAGTTATTTACGCCTCGGTTTCGCAGATACATGCTGAGATGAACTGTCAGCGAGATGTGTTAAAACGAAACAAAAAATGGAAATATTTCATTTATTTAACGGGACAGGAATTTCCATTAAAAACCAATTTAGAAATAGTACAAATATTAACAGAATTTCATGATCTAAATGATATCGATATTTTAAAGCGTACACCACTTCTAGATGTTAATTACAAATTTAGAATAGAGAAAGGCGGCATGCACAGAACTGGGCATATGAAGACTGAGCCATGCCCCATAAAAACAATTAAGAAAGGTATAGTTCATACAGCCTTGTCGCGGAAGTTCGTCGAGTTTTTGCACACAAGTGTTATTGCTAAACGGTTTTTGGAGTGGTTGATTGATACACACGGTTCAGATGAATATTTCTTTTACAGTTTGGCTTATCTTCCAGAAGCCCCGGGTGGGCCTGGACAAGTCAATTTAACACACTCCATCAAGGCGCTGTCAAGACTCATGGTATGGAAGCATCATAACGCCACTCAATGTAATGGACAATATGTACGCAATATTTGTATATTTTCGTGGCGTGATCTTGCATGGCTGGTTACTCAACCGCATCTCTTTGCCAATAAGTTCAATGTACAGTATGATAGCTTAGTTTTGAAGTGCTTAGAAGAAATTATTAATTATCGCACATTCCATCCTAAACCAGTAAACATAACTTTGTATCAAGAATACGTCAACACACGTACTTGGCTTGATTATGGTAAACCTCAACCCTGGCTGTTATAGGTTTATCCCATCTAACATGGCAGTTCAGTGTAATAAAGCAGTGTAATAGTGATGCCACGGCTTACTGTCTAAGTGCATGCTTTGTGGTATTCACGTTATGACTTTATTATTATACATCTTTTCCTCCAAAGGATACATTGTAGCACTATTAGTCATGTATTCATTTCTTGTTACTCCAGTTGTTTTTTGGCGAAAGTGATCGTTACATGGTTTTCAAATGCGGATTATTAATAACACCAAGCGTTCAGTTATGATATGATTTTTTTATTTCACCAATAATAACAATTCTAGTAA